AATGCAAAAAGAATTAAGACTTACATACGCTACTACATATAGTATTTTTCTGTACATATATACCGTGATAAAGTTTAATTTGTAGAGTAAGAGATTAACAAAGTATTAAGTTTTCTTTCTCTCCACATCCTGCTTTCTCATTATCTTATTTTGCTGTAGTTCTTGACGAAGTCTGCATACACTTTCTTTTATTTCCTTACAAAGTCCAGAGCTTTTCCTTTGTCCTTTAAAGGAAGCACTACATGAATTTTCTTTGGCATACCAGAATTCCAAGCAATGCTACTCTTATACATAAGAATAATTATTAAGTAAGTAAAGTTATTTGATCCTAGCACTGTGATCCTACCACATTTGATCTGATACATGAGATGACTACGAAGTGATTAGTGGCTGGGTAGAATGTACAGTATGGATACAATGGGGAAAAAAGTGATGCTTGTCTTTGATAGGATGAAGTGGGATAGCATATTACTTCATCTTGCTATTCTGGGTGTCATACATTTTAAAGCTTATAAATTATTTGTGGAAATTTCCATTGAATATTTTCAGACCCTAGTTGACAAGTAGTGACTGAAAATGCAAAAAATGAAGGCTTGGATAACATGGGATGAGTATATTTTCTGTTGAAGTGATAAGGCGTTAGGAGAAGGGCACTGAAGGCTGCTGAATTCTAGTAAATCAGTTTACAACAGGTAGATAGGGGCTGAACAAGAGGCATCATAGATACAAAGAAGATAAAAAGGCAAAATCTTAAGATACAATATTTTGGCTCCTTCCTCAGTGCTGTCTAACATATGGATTTCTTCCCAGTAAGATGACTCAGGGTGAGGCATTCACAGTTTGCCCTGCAGCCAGTGAATAGTGGGAGGAAGGCCATAACCTCTGCAGCCAGATAGCCTTCGGCTCAGATTCAAGCTCTGCATTTATTGCTTCTGTGACTTTGGAAATACGATATACTATTTTGAGCCCTGGTTTCTTATTTGTGATACACTAATAGCTATTATTATCTTAAAGTTCAGTTGAGAAAATTGATCTTTAGACACTCTACAAACAAATACTACTTGGAAAAAAATCTACAAAAAAGGTATATGATATAATTGTATAGAAGTAGCCATACATGTATAAAGTGAAAGTAAAACTGAAGAAATCTAAATGTTGTGAATTGTGTTGATGTCAACATTTTGCTTGGGATGCAACACTCTCATTCTGTAAGATTTTATCATTGAGGAAACATGGTCAAATTTACACAAATGCATGTAAATTTGCATTATCTTTAAATGAAAAGTTTTATTAAAAACAAACCCTTTTAGCCATCTTTTACTTTACTAGGGATGCCATAATAAATACTGTGGGCCAAATGGCTTAAGCAATACACAAAAAAAGTGTCCCCTCATAGTTAGAAGTTAGAAATTCAAAGTTAGGTAGTTGGTAGGTTCTGGTGAGACTTTTCTCCTTGGCTTGCAGATGGCTGCCAACTTCACAGATTCTCACCATGTCCACCTTCTTACAAGTAGATGTTTGTGTCTAAATTTCTCTTTTCATAAAGATATAGGTCACACTAAATTAGAACCTAACCTAAAGATTTCATTTTATACCTTTTTAAAAACTTCATATCCAAATATATTTATATTCTGAGGGATTAAGGGTTAGAGCTTCAACATACGGCCTTTAGGGAGATACAGTTCAGCCCGTAATAGAGCTAAAAAAAGTTCATGACACTGGATTTGTCAGTGTTTTCTTGGAAAGGACACCAAAAACACAGGCAAAAAACCAAAAAGCACAAATTGGACATTATCAAAATTTAAGACTTCTGTGAAAAGAAAGTAATAAAAGTAACTCATGGATTGGAGAGAATATTTTCATATAACGAGTCTCATAAATGGTTAATAGCCAGAATACATAGAATTCTTATAATGTAACAACAACAAAAAAATCTTATTTGAGATTGGTAGAAAGACTTACGTAAATATTTGTTCCACAAAAAGGTACAAGTGACCAAAAGATGCCTTTGACATCACTGATCACTACAGAAGAGCAATGAAACCAGAGGCCCCACACACACACACATTAGAACTGACTACTAACAAAGATATAAGAAATGAAAGGACAGATTTTGTCCATGTGGACAAAATGGAAAGTCACATCCTATCAGTGAGAATGCAAAAGGCTACTGACACTAGGAAATTGGGAGCAATCAGTTTTCAAAATATTAAATGCAGAATTATAATATGATCAACCTCTTCTGAGTAAATACACCCTCAAGTATTAAAAAGCAGTGACTGAGAAATATATTAACACACTGACATTCAAACAGCATGATTCACCATAGTCAAACTGTGGAAGCAATCTAGATGTTTATGGACAGAAGAATCAAGACATAACTATCATATATTCTTGAGTGTTACCAAGTCTTAAAAAGAAAGGTTTGACATGCTATACAGCATGGATAAACTTTGAGGATATTATCCTAAGCAAAATAGTCCAATCACAAAAGATAAATATTGCATGATTCCACTTAGATGAGAAACCTAATTTATCAAATTCAGAGTGAAAGAATGGTGGCTGTCAGGTTTTGAGAAAGAATTAAATATGAAATTATTATTTAATAAGTACAGAGTTTCAATTTTTCAAGGTGAAAATGTTCCATGGGTGGATGTTGGTGATAGTAATATAGCAATGTGAATTTACTTACTGCTTATAAATTGTACATTTAAAATGGTATCAAATCCAGGGCCTTGAATGTATTAACATGCACTGTACCACAGAGCTATATCTCCAGCCCAAAATGCCTTTACTGTGTGTCCTACCTAAGAAGTAGGTTAGATTCCATTTAATACTTTTCTGTCCTTAAGAATCAGAAAGCCATTTCTTGGTATTCATTCATCTCTTTTTTATATGACAGCAACTTTAAACATCAAAATATGATAAGATAATAAGTGTTCCAATCTTGTTGCTTGGATACACTGTCATTAATATGCTTGAAGCAGGTTATTTCTCCTCACACAGTAAGAATTTCATCTAATAGAGAATATTGCTCTTCATATTTTAATATAAATATATATAATGTTAATATATAAATTTTATATATAACGTTTCTTTAGGAACAGTTGTACATATATATTAGACTGTATTTCATGATAGATACAAGCTCATCATTTTTACTCTTGAATTTCTTGAAGAGTCCTTTGAAGGATGACAATATATAGTTAATCACTAGATTGTTAAATCAGTTTTACATATATTGGATAAACTACTAAATTTCCCAGACACCTTATGCAAAAATTTGTATTTTTTTCTCTTCATCAGATGATACAAAAATGAAAATTATCCAATTTAAATGATCATTCTGGAACACTTATTTTAAAAGCTGAATCATCTGAGGATTGTTGAAATACCGTTTGGAACACAGTACAACTTGGAATTGGGATGGATAAGGTTGAGGGAGCCTGCCCAAGAAGAAGCCAGGGAAATCTTTGTGCTAGTATTTGCGCAAAAGAAGTGAGAAAAGGAAATGTTGACTTTTACTTATGCAATAAATATATAAGCATTCTGAGATTTTTCCCTAGGAAAACTTTGATAATGTTAATATGATGAGGTAGAGACTGGCATTGAACAGGGTCCTGGGAAGCATCAAAGGCTTTGCCTTTGAGAAGGGGTACAGGACACTGAGAAGACAGAATTGAACAGGACTGGAAATGCAGGGAGAGACAGGAAGATGTGGTTAAAGTAGTCAGAGGATGTAATTTAGAATCATTATTTTTAATACAACATTTAAAGTAAGTAAGGCTAATCAAGTAACACATATACAAGAATTATTCTTAAAAAATATAAAGCTGTAATGAACAGTTTCAAAGGAACCTAAATTGCTGTTCAAACCTTCTATGTTCTGGTGTCTAAAGCACAGTATCATAAAACTGAAAAATTCCCGAATGAAGATCCTGTGCAATTCCTGGTAAAGTCACATCAGGGATATTTTTGAAACTTGACAATGTGATTCTAAATTGAATATGAAAGATAAAGAAAAAAAAAAACTCGAAAATTGCCAACAAGCTTTTGAAGCAGGACAATGAAAATGAAGACATTTTACCAGATGCAAATACTTGAAGATTTAGTAATAAAAATCAAAATGTTGATACAGAAATAGACAAGTCATTCCATAGAATTTAGAAAAGAATCCAAGCATAAATGAGACTTTGATAAATGAAAGCAATGATATAGATACAGTAGACGGAAAGAAGTTGGAAAAAGAATATTGTATAATTATACAGTAGTTGGAAAAAGAGTATTGTAAAATAACAACTGAGAGGGGCTGGGGATTTAGCTCAGCAGCATAAGCGCCTGCCTTGCAAGCAGGCAGTTGTGAGTTCGATCCCCGGTACCGATAAAAAGGAAAAAAGACAAAATAAATAAATAAATAAATAAATAACAACTGAAAAAATAAAGAAGTTGGAAAAAGAGTATTGTAAAATAACAACTGAAATAATTTGACTAGCCATATGGAGGTGGAAAGTGTCTATAATTCATCATATGTAAAACAAAGTCAATTCTATGTGTATTAAGATAAAAAACTAAAAATTTTTGGGAAAAATTATAGTGTAAAATATTTCTGCCTTTAATAGGACAAGATTTTCTTACAGAGGTTAAAAACTGCTAACTAGGAAAGAAAAATCTGGTAAATTATTGTACATTATTATATATTAATATCAGGTTTTGTTTCTCAAAAGATATCTCAAAGACCATAAAAAGTCAATACAAATCAGCAAACACATTTTAACATATTCAATAAATCCAAGAAAACTGAAATCAAGAAGAGGAATACACAAAAAATAAGAAGTCTTGCTTTGCTAAGAGGTAGAAAAGGAGATCAATATAATGTTCTCTAACATATAGTGGAAGTGCACATAGACACAACTTTTTAAGGAAACCACTGCATATCATCTGTAAAGTGTAACATTTTTATAGTCCATGACTCAGCCTTTCTGCATATACTTTACTCCTAGGCAGTTGGATCTGCAGTCAAATTCTCTACCCCTGAGCTAGTCCTCCTGGCAATTGCTGTACAAGAAAGTTGATAGCAGTACTTCGTGCCATATGAAAACAACTAATTTGCTTTTGATGAAAGTGTAAGTAAATTGTGATATATTGTCACTGTGGGATATTACTTAGCAATGAAAAATAGTGACCCTACATCTAAATTCAACAGTAGATATGAATTTTAGTATGCCAAATTCAAATTTATAAAAAGCACTTTCAGAAGATGACAATAAAATTCACAATATAGTTTTAAAATATGTATATGATGTATATATACATGATGTAATATATATATATATATATATATATATATATATATATATGATGTATACTTAGCACAAGGCAAAAATTAGAAAAGATTTTTAAGAAATGGTTTGTATAGGATGAATGCAAGTTCTAGTAATAATGTAATCTATGGGTTGGGTGTTAAAAATTTCATTTTTTCCTAACAAACCGAGTATTTGTGGATCATTTATGTACTGTTAATAATTAATCAAATTTTGCAGGTATGATTTCTATAATGAAAATAAGTGATCCCTATAAATAAAATTAAAAATATAATCAGATCTTTAATGTTGAAATGATTATGTAGTCTCTATGGAAACCATTTTCAAGAACAGAAGTCAGCTCACTATCAAACAGTTCTGGTTTCCCTAGCTGAGACAGACTTTTTCTTTTTCAGAAAAGCAAGAGAGCTTTGGGAACCCCCAATGCTATTGTGACATCAGTAATGTTTGATATGTGTAAAAAATACAGTATTGTTTTCTAACTAGTTTTGCAAACCTTTCCTGGTTATCATTTGGAGGATGAGAGTGTTACTGGATATCTTCTCTTTAAGAAAGTTTATTTTTGCAGCAATCATAGCAATCATATTCTACATTGAAACCTGTCAATCACATATCTAATGTTTTCATTTTTCAGAGGAAGAAACCCAAACTCAAGAAAGTAAAATTGCTCCTGCAATAATAATGTCACAGAAATGAAAACCAATTGAAATAGGTCAACTTTGTCTCTAGCCTTGTGAAACTGGTGACTTCTCCAACCAGTTTAATACTTCATTCATTTGAAACAGCAGCGGGAGCTGAAAAAGTCAACTGAATTGTGGTTTTCATGAGTCACAGATATTCATCACAACTGCTTTCCAGCTAAACGATAGAGGCATCTCTGACTTTGCTGGAATTCATTACAGCATTCCCTCTTCTGGCAGTGTGCATACTTGCTTTCCCATGCAGTTAACTCTCCACTGGGAATTTTCCAATCTCTTTGGGTTAGTATTTTAATAGCTACCTTCTTCAGCCAGGAAGCTGAGGAAACTTAAACTACCATTCATTCAGACTGGTAAATAAAGGTTTTTCTGAGGACTGCAATCACCAAGACAATTTAAGAAAATATCCCAGAAGCAGGAGGATGAAGAGAATAGCCAAAGAAAAAACTTGATTGAGAAATGATTTGCAGTCTAAATTCTACAGTGTTTCCAATGACCTTGAAATAGAAATGAAAGGTCAATTTTGGTTTCATGTTAAAGTTAGGATCTTTCATAACTTTGAGTTAGGAAAAGTTTTCTGCTCAATGCCTATGCATGCCATTAAACCTAACAAAACAAAATTCTAGCAGAATGGAGACTAGATGAGATAGTGCCTCAGAATATTCAGCTCAAAGAGGGAGAGAATCATTTTGTGTTATTCTGTTTATTCATTCATTAATTCACTCATTCATCCACTCATTCACTGATTACCAAATACCTTCCATGTACAAGATACCAGGTACTCATTCAGATCTTTCTGAAGCAAGGTCTTGCATCCAGGTTCATATGTAATAGAATTTATTCTTATGTTAAAAATAAATCAGTATTTTAATCTTTCATTAAACCACTGAAAATACTTTTCTGATATTATTCAACATATAATTGAATTTTTATTATGAGAAATAAAATAAAACATATACTTTTCTTTAGCAGTTTTACCATGTGTTTAAATATTATGTTCATAAACCATACAATTTTATATTTCAGAGTATTATTAAAGAAATGAAACAAAATATGTATGTGCATTGCATTACTAAAATATGCTCCTAAAATTTCTCATTTATCCAAGCCCATTTTGGACTGTGAACTACTTGTAAGTCCATGAACTATTCAAAATGAAATAATATGTTTTGGAGAAATAAGAACTCAAGTAAGTCCCATTATAAATATGATTCCAATTTTATTCTCAAAACGGACCATACCTTTACTAAAGTCCCATAAGCCATGTTAGATCACAGTGACACTTCGTCATGAAGGCAGTAATATTTGTATTCTGTTTATTAATAGCATATTTTTATAAATTTCTTGATAATCTTATTATAAATGAGGATTGCATACACAGTACCTTAAAGTAATAGAAAATATAAAATATTTATAAGGTTAAAATAATGCATCATTTCTTTTGTAAGGTTTTATTTTCTATGTTAATTATTTTAAGGTAGTTTAAAGAATTTTCATATAAAGCTAGAATAAACAGGTTTTATTTTCTATGTTAATTATTTTAAGGTAGTTTAAAGAATTTGCATATAAAGCGAGAATAAACATTTATTGATATGCTGATTAAGAATAATATACAATAGACTATAATAAATGAACACTAAATTTTTTGACAAAACATTATATAGAGAAAAAAATCAAATATCTTGATATCAAGAAGTTTAAGAAATAGGACTTTAGTAATATTTTAGGCTTCTCATTTTATTTGCTTCACATGTATCTTTAAATATTGCACTCAGGCTCTGAATTCATGAATAATGCTAAGTGCTGAAAGAAATGAAAGAGAGCAAATAACAGAACCAATCACCTACAAAATCACAAAATCCCCCAAAAAGTAACTCAATGCATAGAAAATCCATTCACTGATTGAATACATATTTATTGACTGTATTGTGTTCCTCATGTTATATTTACTGTGTAGTATGGGTATATAAATATGGTAAACTAAAAATGTCTATTTTCTTGATTTGTAATTGTGTTGAAATTTAAGTACATGTGGAGGTGTAAAACTAGATCATACTGTGTTGGTTGTTATACCTTCTAAAATTTGAATAAATATTTGGGGACCTAAAAAGTTTACTCAGCTAGTTTATAAAATTTTTTAACTTTTATGTTGCAGTTTGAACTTATTGACTTGGATAATTTTCTTTTAAATGTCTAGTATCCTATAAGGCCATCAGTTTCACAAAGCATCATCACTGTTTAGTTGGATGACGCTTTCTCAGAACCTAGCAGACAGTACATGAAAGTATGAGTAAATACGTTTCAGTGAATCATCCAATAAATTAATGCTAGGGAAATAATGATAACACATTGGTTTCACAAAATACTATGTAGTTATTAAAGCAATAATGATGAATGTAATGTTGAAAATGCACATGTCATTATATTTAGAGGAAAAGTCAAGTATTAATGCAAAATTAAATGTAAAAACAAGTCCACAGACTCCTCCTGTGACTCCCACCATCCCAGAGATGACACTGTGGGACCTGGCAACTCCAGCCAATGGTGCGCACAGGGCTGGGCTAGATCCAGGCCCCTCCCATGACTCCCACCATCCCAGCAGTGGACCTTGTGGGACTCGAGAACACTCCCAGCAACACAGGTCGGACAGGTCAGATCCAGGCCCCTCCCATGCCCCTGCAGTCCTGGCCAATCATGTCAGGACCTAGGAATTCCAGCCCGTAATGTGTGCCCCCACAGTCCCACCACTGCCATCGGGGACACCCCCACCTCCTGGACCTAGTATTGCTGTTGAACTTTGCCTCCCACACCTCCCCCCAGAACCTTGGGCTGCAGTGGATTAACTATGTAGTATCGAGGGGAGACTAATACGTAGAACTCAGCAGGTTTCCATCAGTGAGGTGAGTTTGCCTCTAGAATAGGAATAGAGTTTGCCACCTTCAGTGGGTAAACAGGAGCAATAGCAAAGCCTCCTCCAGAAGTAGGCCATAGGTGAGGTTGGAAAGTGGGTTGGTGAGTGCTTCCTCCACACACACACTATCAGGTAGGTTGAGGATGGTGCCAATAAAGCCTCCCCCAACCAGGAGAAAATTGAAGGGGCCTGTGGGACACCCAGAGACACAGTAGGGTCCCAGCTGAGACAAACACGTTTTCTGAACAACCTGAAGACATAATAACATCAGGAACAAGGGGTTGATTTTCTTAGCAGCCTAGGAAGAACATAGGACTCACCAAACAGGCCCTTCAAGGGGTATTCAAGTGACTGGCCCACCTTTTCATTTGGGACCCAGCAATTGAACAAACATCAACCATACAGTAGGACCCCCAGATACACACTACTAACGGTTGACACTAGTGGGATTGGAGGACCAAATATTATCTTGAAAGGGGAAAATGGCAAAATGAAAAAGCAAAATGCAATCTCAAACATCTGGTCCACAAGGAGCAAGTACAGGAGACGCTGAAACAGAGGACTTCAAAAGTAACACACTGAGGTGTGTTACTCACATTGAGGTATTTATCAATAAATGGGCGCAGCTTGAAACCATACTCATAAGTGAACTAAATCAAACTCACATCTATGAACTCCGAATAGTTTCCCTAGTGTAGGAAATGAATTAAATATATAAAAGTACGTGATAACCATGATTCCCCATTATATGGCCTTGAAGCCTTATAAAATTGTCACTCATTACTTGGAATGACTTTATTCTGGGCTGTTTGATATCATGGCCGTTGATGCAATGAACAGCCACTTTAAAGAAAATAAGACATAATAACAGCTAGTGCTGATTTAATAACATCTTGTCTTAAAGCCGTACCAAACTATGGTTCTTCTGTCTCCATTGATTTTATTATGTTGTAACTTGCTGGACTTTATCGTATGTGGTAGTATAAACAAAAATTGTTATAGGCAAAGAGATAATATTGAAACCATTGATCATTTTTTTCTGTTAGCTGGTTCTAAATATTCTACAATACTTTCATCCACTTGAATGGTGTTACACAGTCTTGATATATTTGATGCTGTAGCATATGAAGTTATATTCAAATATTTCAAAGAAAAAGACTCTATGGTAACTACTATTAAGTCGAGTGATTTGGTGGTGAAGCACTAGGTTGCTGAAAGTGCTATGCTTTAACCTGTATTGTTATGTTGTTATGCCCCCTTTTATCTCATCCTCTCCCTTATTCATTAAAAAATCATTTAATTTTTTAAAAAAATATATATCAACCAATAAAAAATGCTCCTGGTTCTGTAGGGAAAATGAAACACTTTACAACTGTTGGTTAGAGAGTAGATTAGTACAAACACTATGAAAATCAGTGTGGAGATTCCTCAAAAAATTAGGATTAGAGGTCCCATTCAACCCAGGTATTCCCCTTCTGTGTATCTTCCCAGAAGGATTGAAAAACATCACACCACAGTGACATATGTGAAATCATAAGGTTCAAAATATACAATAGTCACTGTGAAATGGAAGGAAACTATTTAATAAAAAGAAGAAACTAAGATAGGGGAAAAGAGAAAGTATAGAAGGGAAAAGAAAAAAAATGCAAGTTAGTTATACCATTAGTGTCACTTAGTTCACTGAATAGGAAAGGTTGTTCTAATATTGATTGAAGTAATTTTTATGTCCATATTTTGTACGTGAGTGACTAAAGATAATGTTGTGTAATTTATCAACAATTGTTACTTTTTCATTATTTTGTTGTGAAAAATTTGTTTTACCTTTTCTTCTTAGTATTAACAAATAAAGTGAAAAAAAAAAGTAACACACTGGAAATCTCTGAGAAGATAACAAGTGAAGTAAAAAAAAACAAAACAAAACAAAAACAAAAACAAAAAAAACACTCCATGAAGCTATAGAGGAAATCAAATTAGAAGTAATCTCTCATGTAAAAACAGAAATAACAACCTTAGTAAAGGAGTTGCTCAGTGCAGCTACAAAAGAAATATATTTTTTAAAAAGTACAGGAGCATGGGAAACTGATTGAAACCTTGAATGAACAATATATAAAACAAGCAGAATTCATGAAACAAACTCAAAGAGACATCCAAGAAACCAAAAATTCTGCTGAAAGCTGGCAAAACCAATTAAATGAAGCTAAGGATAGAATTTCAGACCTTGGGGACAGGATCACAACAAGCCATCATGAAAGGACAGAACTTTTAAAAACAACAAGGCAGTATGAAATGACAATCCAGCAGTTTCAAGATGATGCCAAGAGAAATGATATAATACTAATAGGCATCAGTGAAGATGCAGGAGTCAAGGCAAATGACATAACTAAACTATTTACAGAAGTAATAGTAGAAAACATCCCAAACATGGAGAAAAACCTGATATGCAGGTAAGTGCGGTATATAGAACACCAAACAATCACAACCAACATAAATCTACACCCAGACATATAATAATTAAGATCCTAGACATGCAGCATAAAAACAGAATACTAAAAGCTGTTTGAGAAAAGACACAACTCACCTATCAAGGAAAGCCCGTTAGAATCATGGCAGACTTTTCAGCACAAACCCTAAAGTCAAGACAAGCTTGGAGGGAGCTATTTCACACCCTGAAAGAAAACAACTTTCAACCCAGACTGATGTACCCAGAAAAACTTTCATCCAAATTTAATGGAGAAACAAGATACTTCCATGACAAAGAAAAACTGAAGAAATTCATGTGACCAAACCAACCCTAGAAAAAGTATTGAAAGACATACTAAATAGAGATAAAAATAACCACAATTCCCAAAACAACAATAGAAAGAAAATACCAGGTAGGATAAGAAAATAAACAAGGAGGAAAAACAGAAATCAAACAACTGGAACATAATGGTAATGTCGAGCCAGTATGTATCAGTTTTATCCATAAGTGTAAATGGCCTCAATTCACCCATCAAAAGAAATATGTTGACAGAATGGATCAAGAAACATGATACCACAATACGCTATATACAAGAAGCACATCCGACCCACATAGATTAAAAGTCAAAGGACAGAAAACAGTATTCCATGCAACAGGATCCCATAAAAAAGCAGGGATAACTATTCTATTTGCAGACAATGTGAACTTCAAAACCTAAAATGATTAAAAAAGATAAAGAAGGTCACGACATATTCATTATTGGAAAACTTCAAGAGGAAGAATTAACAATTATAAATATATATGCACCAAATACAGGACCACCCAACTATATAAAACAAATACTAATGGACATGAAAAACCAAATACACAAGAACAAAGTCACAACAGGGAGCCCATTGTCACAAAGAGATAGATCAACTAGACAAAAAGTCAGCAAAGAAATAATAGAACTGAATCATACTTGCAGCAATTGAACTTAGTAGATGTTTACAGAGTATTCCACTCAACCACATCAGAATACACATTCTTCTCCGTTGTGCATGGGACACTCTCCAAAATAGACCATATATTATCCTATAAAACATTCTTAAGTAACTGAAAAGGTATTGAAATTATCCCATGTGTATTATCTGACCATAGTGCGCTAAAATTGGAAATTAATGGCAAAAAATTGCAAAACATGCATACATACATGGAACTTAAGTAACAACCTTCTGAACAACCAGTGGACTACAGTCGAAATTAAAGAAGAAACAAAACAATATCAACAATTCAATGAAAATGTGGAAACAACATAGTGTATTCTGTGGGATGCAATGAAAGCAGCCTTAAGAGGGAAATATATAGCAATAAATTGTCATATCAAGAAAACAGAATGAACACAAATAAATAACCTAGTGCTTCATCTCAAGCTTTTAGAAAAAGAAGAGTAAGTTAAACTCAAAGCTCATAGAAGAGAGGAAAATATAAAGATCAGAACAGAAATCAATGCAATACAATTTCCTGAAAATACAAAGAATTAGTGAATCAAAAAGCTGTTTTTTTGAGAGAATAAACAAAATAGACAAAACTTTAGCTAACCTTATCAAGATAAAGAAAGGAAAAAACCCAAATTCACACTCTAAAGACTGAAAAGGGGGAAATTACTACAGATCCAATGGAAATGCAAAAGATCCTGAATACCTGCCTTGAAAATCTCTACTCACATAGAGTGGAAAACACAGAGGAAATGGATATA